TGTGCCAAAAGACATGCTTTTTCCTTGGTGTCAACAGTGACGCGGGAGACGTGGACAAATTGGAGATGTTGCAGAGGTTAATATTATCGAATTGGTTTTGACAGAATTTAGCTTCACAAACTAAGCACATCGAAACTTTTGTACAAAGTCCAAAATTAGGACATCATTGACGCGTGGAGAAGCGCTCAAATCCATGCGAAAGTTCCAACTCTTTTTCTAGCAGCACTCCGGCTTTTGTAGACGTTCAACTTTCCTACCTCTGGCGATAAAAGGTCAATCACTTTAAACATGACTGGTGTCAAATGGCGAACTTCCACCCTAAATTCGGTTGGCAGACAACATACACATCACGTCGAGACCCCAGCGATCACTACAAACCAAGGTGTCGGAACGAAATATTCTTTGTTCTGCTTTCAATTTTTCTCCGTGGAAAAAAGGTCTTGTTCAGATTCTGCTCCGAAAAAAAAAAACCTCTTCGCGTGCAAAAAAAAAAAAAAAAAAAAAAAAATGTAAAACCTAAATTTAGAAATGTTTATTTTTATTAAACAATTACAGCAGGTTAGCTCTTATTGCAACGATAGAAAATGAAAGGAATTGGGGTAGAAGGCACTCCGAGGAAGAAAGGCCCGAGACACTGAGCATGATCTCTGAGGCAACACATCGTTGAAATACAAGACGTTTGTTTCGATAAAATAAAGTTCAGCGCCACAATGCCCGCTCCACGCTGACCTGTGTGAACGATATAGTAAGGGCTACTTGCGCTGAACAGTTCCAATTGGCGTTTATATCATGCTTTCTAAAATTTTTGTTTTCTTTTCTTTATTAATACTGTTAATCTATTTCGGGATTGTTGCAGGAGTGGATAAAACATAATATCACACAGGTTGCACTTGCGGCATATTCTTGGAACAAAAATCTAAATAGTTAGTTGTATTTACAACATCAGGTGGCAAACTATTCCAATCAACAATTGGTCGAGGAAAGAAGGAGTATTTACATGCGTCATTTTTATAACTACATGGTTTCATTGTTCTACTGTGAAATTGTCTGGTAGACCTGGGCAGAAAAATGCAATATAATTATCTTTGTCCATTACAAGCTCGTCGTTATTTATAAGGTAGAGAAATTTTAAACGATTCATTCTCCTTCTTTCCTGCAGGGTTTCCAGGCCCGCCTCAGTGCAAAGTTTTATGGGGTACACATAAGAGGAATACATATTGTACACAAAACGCACCGCTAATTTCTGAATTCTCTCGAGTTATTCAATACCTTCATGATTCTTTGAAGGTGTGGGCTCTTACCCAGCATTTTGAGCTATGTCCAGTGGGCCTAGCTCACTCGTCAAATAAGGGTCCACGCCAACCTCAGTTTTTTTTTTGTTTTTTTTTAGCAACAATTCGAAGACATCTTTTGGTTTGTCGGGGGCAAGAAGATACTGAAATACCTGAACTTTCCCCTTAACCCAAAGACTGCTAAGAAAATAGTTTTGGTTTCACACCGAAACAAAGTATTAAAAATGTTTCGACTACGTTTTTGTTCCGCCTAAATATATCGTTATTGCTTTTTTTTTCGGTTTTGTTTTTGTTTCGTACCGACACCCTACTACAAATATTGCTGTCCACAACTGCGGTGAAATGCCAGGACTACTCGAATCAAAGAAGCAAGACGACGTCGGCTTAAACAATGCAAACAAAAAAAGACCGACTCAAGCCATTGGCGTAGTAAAAGAAAAGGCTTATGGGACCACTGATCACTATTGTAGTAGGCTGGATTGCGGATCGGGAGCCCGTTGGTGGCACCACTGGCGGCCATTGCTTGATACGGAAAATACACGCCTCTATGTGAGACACACACAAACGTAGAAATATTAAAGCTTCTACGCGGTGTTCCGTGGTGTATATTTTATTATGTCCTGCGAACATTTTATCGGGTGTTTCTAGACCTAATCGGTATTTGTAAATCATTCCGACGCTGATAAAAAATATATCGAATGTGCTGTAGCACCACCGATTCTCCCGGCGTCGCTTGCTTCAATCGTTAAATAAATTACACCTTCAACAATTGAACGACACGCTCCGAGCTCAAGTTTGTCACAGAAGCTTTCACTGCATTTCAAAGCAAAGGCTTCCATCATAAGTACTTAGTACATGCGCTTGAAACATGCGAACGTGCCCGGTAAATGCTTTCTAACTTATCGTCTGCTAAGCTTTGATGACTTTCGGATCACGAATGACTCCACAGGACTCTCGGCAACACTTGTCTTATTGAACCGCATCACAGTTTACGTCCAACAAAATCGCAACCGTCCAACCTCAATCGCAAAACATTTATTAAAAAAAATATTGCTCGTCTACCGCTTTTAATATTCCTCTCCAGAATATTAACTCAAATTCACTGAAATGACGATAAACGTTTCATCGCCGAGAGCAACCGACTAGGTTAAGAAATTGCAGTTTTCCCGTTTTTCTCATAGAGCCTCATGCACTAGCTGGTGTCAAGCGATGTATTCTGGTGGTGCCCCTTAACCCCAGCAAGACAAGCCTTGTTGAAATGCATGGAACGGAGATATTGTTGGAGATATGTTAAGAAAGGAATTACCTCCCGCAACATCTTGTCAGAAAATCTATTAGTGCCTTTTTTTTTTCTTTAGAACTACTCATCAATTGCAGGTTGAAAAAGGGGGCAATTGGAAGGAATTAGAGCTCCCGTAGAAGCTCTCTAGCCCCAACCAAAAAATGTGCAACCGCGCTTCAATTGTTTCTCTCCTTTTAATAAAACAATTTCCAAGTCGATCTGTCCGTTGGTTGTTGAGCAGTAAGATCAAAAAGTTGTCATCGGTAATACTTATGGCCTGGGGAGCTGCGATACCTCTGAATGATTACTAGAGCTTTCCTGGCGTCCTTGTCGTGCTTTAAGTGACTGTACGCCTCTAAGAAATCCAGTTTGCAAACTTGTTGGCTCCATTAAGATTAGTGAAGAGCTCTTCATGACGTGACAGTGGTTAATGGGCAATGTCGAGCTGCGGATTCGCTGTAGCACTCAAGTTACCACATACCTGAACTGATCCATTCGACTCTCATACAACTGGAGTTGCTCACTCCGAGAAGTCCACAGATGCAAGAACGTTATTGTCGACTTTCTTGTACGAATCTCGCTCTACCATATCGCGCGTAGCGAACAGTTGTGGGCGATATTTGAAGAACATTGGCGTTACTTCATGCCTGAACTGGAGATACATTTTGACTTTAGTGCAACAACCCAAATCGTCGGTGAACAAGATCGGAAACCTTGCCAGCAGCCTCAGCAGCAAATTTCAGTGTGTCTATACAACTACTTTTAAACAGGTTGATGTGTTGCTCGTCAGTTACTAATCTTTCGAACTTCTGAGAGTGTTTCCTAAGCGTAAGCTTAAACAAACATTTTACGTTTAGCGTGACTGTTTTCTTATTCAAGCAGAAAAAAACGAGGGTCATATTTCTGCAGAATAAGGTGTCCAATCTTATTTCATGTCTTGGTGACGAGAAGTGTCAGCTTTGAGCTTATGTCAACCTGCAATTTCATTGCATTCCTCGGATAGTGGAGGTGACAAATCCTCCATCTGGTCCTTGAGTGACAAAGACAATGGTGATCGTTTTCACCTATTATTTTTGTTTGGCAGCTTTCCCTTGACGGTGACTTGATCGGCAGACCTTTCCAATTTGGCCTCGTTTACCACCGGCATTTAGTGACTCAGTTCCGAAGCGGTAGGCGCTTCCTGGGCGCACTTAAAGAAAAAGCCCGTCCGTCTACTTTCCCGGACATCACTCGAAGAGCCAATCAACACAACTCATAGAGGCAGCTCATCGAATGAGGATGCCGAAACATTCGTTTAGACCAAAAAACGCAGTCTGAGTTGTGACATTAAGCATTGCAAAACGTCACCCTAACATTGCTTAATGTCACAACTCAGACCTAACGTACGTTTCGGCATCGGAATTCGCTGAGTTGAGATGATTGGCTCTCCGAGTGCTATGCGAGAAAGTACACGCGCGGACTTTCTTTTAAAAATGGTTGGTGTTACTGCGTGGAAAGCACTTGACAGGTGCAAGAGTAGACTGCTTAAACTTTTCGACGTTCACTGCAATGTGGTCTCTTCGCCTCACAGAGACCAATGGTCGATGCTGTCACGGCCACGCTTCTGGGACAACGCGGAATAGTTAAAGGCTTTGACGACACGTGGTGTATCAACCATAAGCGAGGCATGAAAGCGAGTACAGCAAGCTACTGCTAACACAACCTTCTCTCCTGTGCATCTTTCCGGAGTTCCATCCTTTTGATGTATAATTCCGGCTGCCGCAGTTTGTGAGAAAATGCTGCATCACGCGCCACAGACAGATAAGCAAGAATTTGGAGGGGGGAGGGTTGGGGGAGGAGCAGGAACTGTTCCATAAACGCGTACAGCTTTGGGCTGTGTGCGAGGCTTCCTGTTTATATTATTTACACCTAACTATATTTATGATGGTGAAAATGTGGATATTTTACTTTTATTTAACCCCCTCCTTAAAAAAAAACGAGGTATATTTTATTTACGTCCGGGAAGCCAAAATTGAGCCTCTACTCGTGTTTGTACATTTAGTTGGCGTTCGTTGACGGAGAAAAAAGAGGGCGAACAGCCTCTGACAAAGGCTGTGTAGCAACCGGCTGTTCGGACGAAAGAAGAAGAGGTGGACAAGGGAGAACGAGCTGAGTGGCCGAGCTCAGAACACCGGCAGCTCCCGACCGGACTGGACGTGTATATCATTTTGTAAATAAAAATAGGTAGGGAACTTCCTTCCCTACAATTGGTGACCCGGACGTGATCCGCAAGCCACCTCCGTCATGGCTACCGATGAGGCAACACCGCTGGACATCACCGTCGTCCGCACGCTCAGGCTTCCCTGATTCTGGACAGCGGACCCACAACTTTGGTTCGCGCAAGTGGAGAGCCAATTTACAACCAGCCACATCACCTCGCGTTGCCTCCCGAAACTGCCGTTGATATTCGAGACATCATCCTCGAACCACCGACAACTAACCCGTACGACAATTTGAAGGCTGAGCTCATCAAACGCACCTCGGTATCCGAGCATCAACGGCTCCAGCAGCTACTAACATCTGAAGAGCTGGGCGACCGCACACCATCCCAGCTACTGCGACGTCTTCAACAACTTCTTGGAGAGCGGGCAGCGACATTCGACCCCGCCCTGTTGCGGGAGCTCTTCTTGCAAAGACTCCCTAACAACGTCAGAATGGCTCTTACTTCTGCATCAGGACTCACATTAGTTCAGCTCGCCCAGTTGGCGGACACCGTGATGGAAGTCGCTGCACCGCAAGTCGCTGCCCCGCAAATCGCTCCTATTGCGGCCACGCAATCACATCTGCTCGGTGCACCGGCAAACATCTCTGCCGCTGAAACAACGGAGGATTCTTTTCGCACGGATATCCAACAAGCGATCAAAGCCCTCACCGCCCAAGTAGCCGCGCTCACTTCACGTTCACGATCGGAACATAGCCAGCGTCCCGCCCCCCAGTGCAGCGCGGGTAGGGTAGGCACCGCGGCAGAAGGGTTTTTAAACCCTTGTGCCGCGGTGCCTACCCTCCGACTGAGCCCCCCCTCCAGCGGGACGAGCATCTTTGCATCTTGCTGGGGTGTGCCCGATTGTCTGGGTTTTACCGTCCAAAAGAAACCCGAGGAATCGGATACGCTGGGTGGGGGAGAACTCCGATACCTCTGGGTTTAGCCTAAACCCGCAGGTTAGAAGGTCCTGGACAAAGTTGTCGGTGGCTGCCTTGAGGTAGTGGGGGTCGCCGTGTGCGAACAGTATGTTGTCAATGTGGGACCACGCCCATAGTCCTCTTGCTCGGGCTTCACGGGTCAACGCTGTGGCCAGGTGTTGCATTAAAAAGGGGGCGATGCGTATGCCGAAGGGCAGGACCGTGTAGGTGTAATAAACTCCATCTAGCCTGAAACAGGTGATGGGTCTGGTACGCTCGTGCAAGGTGAAGTGATAGAACGCATCTTTAAGGTCCACTTTCGTGAAGTAGGGGCGTGGTGGTAGTGGACACAGCGTGAGCATCTTCGGCAGTGGTGGAAGGCAAAAGGAAGGTGCCGGGAGATGGGGGGTAAGATGCGAACAGTCGAGGCTAAATCTTGACAAGGTGGAGGACTTCGGCACAACTTGTATGGGCGACAAAAAAAGTCCTCTCGTGGTTTGTTCTATGATACCTGCGTGTGCCATCGACAAAACGGCTTCACGAAGGACGGGAAGCTGAGTGGTCGGTGGCGGTCGTGCGTTGAAGACAGAGTTCCGACGAGGTCGGATAATTAAAGCTGCAGGGTCATAGGGAGGGTGGTAACCAAAGACCTCACTTACAAGGTCCCAGTTGACGGTTGGCGGTGGTAGGCTGGGTCGCACTGGGGGGTGTGGCGGTCCAGCGACCAGGAAGGCGGGCCGACGGCTGTCACTTTCCTCGGAGTGGTCTTGGTCGTCGAGGGGTGGAAAAGGGTCGTGGACTTCCAACCATCGAAGGATGCGAACAGCGGCGTCCTCGAGGCTGTCGTGTTCGGGCGTCGCTGTACGCTCGGAGGTTTCGGAGGAAGTCTCCGAAGTGGCGTCGTCCGGAAGGGTTACATCGGACGAGGCCGTCCCTGCTGGACTGGGGTCCCTGGGAAGGCCAGGTAAGTCCAAAGGTTGGGTGTGACTCGGGATGCCGGATTCCCAGATCGCCTGTGCCAGTAAGTCCTCAGGCTGAATGATGTCTTGCAGGAGACCGAGGGTCGGAACACCATTCACCACGGCAAGCACTGGTTGGGCTTGGACCAAAATAAGTTCTAGTTGGGCCGGCACTCCAGTAGCGGCGTCGAAATGGGTTAAGAGGTCCAAGCACTCGGGGGGGACATCGGCATCTGGCGGTAGGGGAACGGGGAAGACGGTGGTCACATGGGCACTTACAGTTCCTTGGGGAAGGTCTTGTGCCGATCCATGTCCCGCCCCCGATACAGTTCGCCCTCCCAAACCCGAGCAGTATCAAGACATTCAGATATTTGTTGGTACCATCGGACCTTCGGCGACCGCGCCCGACACTGCGTAGGACCATGCTCTGCTTCGGGAAATGCCCGCACCCACCACTAGAGGCGGCGAGTGGTGGGGGTACGCAGCTCAGCCGCTTGTTCTTCATAACAGATCGCGGCTCCGGTTTGCGATTCTTGGTTGACACCGGCGCAGAGGTGAGCGTACTACCAGTTTCTGCCGTTGAAACAAAAGGCAGGCAGACACTTACCACTCTACAAGCAGCCAATAAGACTCCAATCGCTACTTACGGTGAGCACGCTTTGTCCCTCAACATCGGACTGCGCCGAGTATTCCGCTGGGTTTTTCTCGTCGCCGACGTGTCTTATCCTATTATCGGTGCCGATTTTCTACGACATTTTAATCTACTGGTTAATATGCAACGTAAGCGCCTCGTAGATGCTACTACAAATATTGTTACACACCTCGCGTGTAAGCCTGTACGACCTCCGGACAAGCCTAACTGCTCCAGTCCAACTTCGCCGTACGAAAGTTTGCTACGAGAGTTCGGGTCTATCACTCGCCCTACCAACTTTCAGCGTCCAGTGAAGCACAATGTTGCCCACCAATCGTAACTACTGGGCCACCTACTCATGCTCGACCACGTCGGCTTCCACCAGACCGTTTAAAGATCGCGCAAAGTGAATTTGATCACATGCTAGAGCTTGGCATCATTCAACCATCATCAAGTCCATGGGGTTCTCCACTGCACAAGGTTCCCAAGAAAAACCCTGGTGACTGGAGACCGTGCGGGGACTATCGTGCTCTGAACAACGCCACAGTCCCCGACAGGTACCCGCTGCCATACATCGCGGATTTCACGACTTCCCTGTATGGCGCAAAGGCTTTCTCTAAAATAGACCTAGTAAAGGCGTACCACCAGATCCCAGTTGAGCCGAGTGACGTCCCCAAGACGGCCATCATCACACCTTTCGGTTTATTTGAATATCTTTGCATTCCTTTTGGGCTACGAAATGCAGCTCAAACATTTCAGCGCTTCGTCGACCATGTCATCCGAGGACTTCCCTTCGTCTATGCCTACGTTGACGACCTGTTAATCTACAGCCATGACGATGAAGAACACATTCAGCATCTTCGACTGATTTTTCAGGGCCTTGATGAGCACGGCCTCATAATCAACAAGCAAAAATGCGAGTTTGGAGTCATGACGTTGAATTTCTTAGGCCATCAAGTGGATCACACAGGGGTCCGTCCACTTCCCGAAAAAGTCGCAGCCATTAAGGTTTTTCCACAACCAACAACCATTCGTAAACTCAGAGAGTTCCTGGGTCTCATAAATTTCTATCGGCGTTTTATTCCCAACTGCGCTTCAACACTCCTGCCGCTCACTAATATGCTCAAAGGCGAACACAAGGACTCAACACCGTTAAATTGGAGCGACTCGGCTTTCCAAGCTTTCAGCCGCATAAAAGGATATCTCGCTAACGCTACCCTACTCGTTCACCCCTGCCAAGAACTTCCCGTGAGTGTAATGGTCGACGCCTCCGATATTGCTATTGGCGCTGTCCTGCAGCAGCTCTCCGACAAGAACTGGCAGCCCATCGCGTTCTACTCCCAAAAACTCAGCGCAACAGAGTCACGCTATAGTACATTCGGTAGGGAGCTCCTTGCGATTCATCAAGCCATCAAACACTTCCGGCATTTCCTAGAGGGTCGTCATTTCGTCGTTTTCACCGACCACAAACCCTTAACATTCGCACTGAAATCAGGGAGCGACAAATTTACTCCCCGTGAGATCCGTCAAATGTCGTACATATCAGAATTCACGACAGACATCCGCCATGTCAAAGGCAAAGACAACCTGGCAGCTGATGCGCTCTCGCGGGTTATCGTCACTCCCTGCTGCAGCATGGTACCCATGACAATTGATTTTGAAGCCATGGCCTCAGCTCAGCGAGATGACACCGAGCTTCAACAAGTTCGTTCATCGCACTGCAGCCTGAATTTGCGCGAGGTAGTCTTGCCAATGTGTGGTACACCACTCATCTGCGACCACACCACAGGCGCACCCCGACCTTTCGTACCGCTGCATTTCCGTCGTCAAGTTTTTGACTCCCTACACTCCATGGCACACCCTGGAGTTCGAGCAACTCAGCGGTTAATCACTGACCGCTTTGTATGGCCGGGTGTCAACAAGGACGTACGAAACTGGACTCGCTCTTGTCTGGCTTGCCAGCGGTCTAAAACTCAACGTCATACGTCAGCACCATACGATGCTTTCCCAACACCGACAGCGCACATCGATGCCGTACACCTAGACATTGTGGGTCCTCTCCCAACATCTGGTGGAAACACATATATAGTGACATGCATTGATCGCTTCACGCGCTGGCCTGAAGCATTTCCCATTCCTAACATCACCGCCGAAACCACGGCACGGACATTCGTCGAAGGTTGGATAGCTCGATTTGGTGTGCCTTCATCGGTTACCACCGACCGAGGGAGACAGTTCGAGTCCGCTTTATTCCAAAGAGCTCATGAGACTACTAGGGTGCTCGCGTATTCGGACCACGTCATACCATCCCATGGCTAACGGCATCGTAGAGCGCTTCCATCGCACGCTCAAGGCTTCTCTAATAGCACACGATGACCGTGTTTATTGGAGCATCCACCTCCCATTGGTGCTTGTGGGACTCCGGACCGCTTTCAAAGAAGATATCGGTTGTAGTGCTGCCCAGCTCGTATATGGCGCACCCCTTCGCCTTCCAGGGGAATTGATCATCCCGGCTGATCACGGCACCAATAGCGATCCCGCCAGCTACGCCACGCAACTCACGACGGCTATGCGGGCCCTGCGCGCGACCCCTCCTCGTCCACAACAGCGTAAATCGATATACGTTTCGACTGAGCTCGCCCACTGCACTCACGTATTCGTCCGCCACGATGCAAGTCGCCAATCTCTACAATATCCGTACGACGGCCCATTCAGAGTAATTGATCGTCGGGATAAATATTTTCTTCTTGATCTAAAGGGACGAAAAGACACCGTGTCAATCGATCGCCACAAGCCAGCCTACCTTGACACTCCTGTTGCTTCTACACCTCCAACCACCTCACTTGAATCAAGGACATGCACACCGAAAATTTCGAAGGACATACACCAACACTTATCCCTACTACTACCGCGAATTGTTTCCCGTAACAAGCCACAGAGGCACCCTGACCAGCCAAAACGCCATGTCACGTGGGTACCTCTACCACCACAACTCGGCGTTTTCCAACGACCTCCTTGTTGGAGGGGGAGTACCTGTAGCAACCGGCAGTTCGGACGAAAGAAGAAGAGGTGGACAAGGGAGAACGAGCTGAGAGGCCGAGCTCCGAACAACGGCAGCTCCCGAACGGATTGGAGATGTATATAATTTTGTAAATAAAAATAGGTAGGGAACTTCTTTCCCTACAGCTGTAAATCGACCGACAAAATACAGGTAAACTTAAAAATAACGACAAAAAGTACACCTCCCATTTTTGTTTTCACTCACCCTCTCTCTCTTTCGTGAGCAAGGACTTGGCGTCCTTGGGCTTCCCTAGTCCAGCCCGTGAAACATGTACAAAGAACACATAGACATAGCAATGGGGGCGCATTAATCAAGGCCGCTATAGGCTAGCGACGGGGAACGTCTCCTTCGTTTCCAACTCTCACTCCGGCTGCCCGACAAAAAGTGTCCAAGCGGCTTCCCCGAGTCATATGTCCTGATATGTCACTTCACCTCTCCCACAAACCGTTAAAACGATTTTGATGGGTACTCTTGTTTCACGAAAGGACTGAGGCAGACCCCACAGGACTCTAAAAACTAGTTATGAAGGGTTTCTAACACTATTTAGGAATTCTTAAAGGATACGTCAGGTTTATTACAAAAACTTCGACGAAGATCTCAAACCCCTCAAACATGTTTGAAGAGTACGTCAAAACATTAGAGAAAACCTGATACACGGTTTTTCAGTATGGTAATGAAATAAGTGTCGGCGAAAAGAACTTTATTTTTTTAAGACCGCTTGCATATTTCGTTGAAGCCTTCTCCAGCAGGACCTAATGCATAGCTGAGTGCGTCACCACATTTTTTGGGGCGCTTCTTTTGCATTCAGAAGCGTGCGGGAGTTTGATCGAAAGGAGACAGAAACCGTAGGATGTCAACTGCTGTCAAGTGACTGCGATAGCGTTTTACAACGACTCTTGGTGATATATGTCTAGGAAATTATATTCTTATCTATCTCGAGATCAGGAACTAGCGGTTTTTCGCCAGTAAATTCTAAAGGCAGTTAAAGGAAAAGTGCCGACGGAGCCGTTAGAATAATCAAGAGAACGTCCAACAGTTTTCTTTTAAACAGCGCTGTCCAAGGTTAGAAAGGGTTATAATATTCAGTGAACACGATTAGTATCACCTTTGTAGAACCCTTGCATGCAAGATGCATGGAATCAATTTATACTTTCTCAAATATCAACCAAATACATAATCAATGTACAGCGTGTCACAAAAAAAATTTACACGGTCTTTTTTCCGCAAAAATAAACTAGGCATCGCCGAACGCTCGTTCTCCGCCCAAAGGTAGCGCTAGAGGTTACAACCAGATGCCAAAGTTTCAGCCCGATTCGATAACTTAATCAAAAGTTATAAGCGATTTTCCGAAAATTCTAATGGGAAAATGGTGGCCGAAGGACTTTTCGAATACATGGGGCTCTGTGGCACCAGAAACCGAAAACGGGCAAAAATGGGCTCCATTTTCCCATTGAAATTTTCGGAAAATCA